GCAAATCTTGTATCACAAACCTCCTGGAGTTTTATGACAAGGTAACAGAAGTAAGACACGAGAGAGAGGGTTGGGTAGATTGCGTTTTCCTAGACTGCAGGAAGGCCTTTGACACAGTTCCCCACAAGAGATTAGTGCAGAAGCTGGAGGATCAGGCACACGTAAAAGGAAGGGCACTGCAATGGATAAGGGAATACCTGACAGGGAGGCAGCAACGAGTCATGGTACGTGAAGAGGTATCACAGTGGGCGCCTGTTACAAGCGGGTCCCACAGGGGTCAGTTCTAGGACCAGTGCTATTTTTTGATATATGTGAACGACATGATGAAGGAAAGACTCTGAAGTGTCCCTGTTCGCAGATGACGTGACGTTGATGAGAAGAATTAAATCAGACGAGGATGAGGCAGGACTGCACAAAGAGACCTGGAGAGGCTGGACATGTGGTCCAGTAACTGGCTTCTCGAATTCAATCCAGCCAAATGCAAAGTCATGAAGATTGGGGAGGGGCAAAGAAGACCACAGACAGAGTATAGGCTAGGTGGACAAAGACTACAGACCTCACTCAGGGAGAAAGACCTTGGGGTGACCATAACACCGAGCACATCACCGGAGGCACACATCAACCAAATAACTGCTGCAGCATACGGGCGCCTGGCAAACCTGAGAATAGCGTTCCGATACCTTAATAAGGAATCGTTCAAGACACTGTACACTGTGTATGTTAGGCCCATACTGGAGTATGCAGCACCAGTCTGGAACCCACACCTGGTCAAGCACGTCAAGAAGTTAGAGAAAGTACAAAGGTTTGCAACAAGGCTAGTCCCAGAGCTCAAGGAATGTCGTACGAGGAAGGTTAAGGGAAATCGGACTGACGACACTGGAGGACAGAAGGGTCAGGGGAGACATGATAACGACATACAAGATACTGCGGGGAATAGACAAGGTGGACAGAGATAGGATGTTCCAGAGAGGGGACACAGGGACAAGGGGTCACAACTGGAAGCTGAAGACTCAGACGAGTCACAGGGACGTTAGGAAGTATTTCTTCAGTCATAGAGTTGTCAGCAAGTGGAATAGCCTAGCAAGTGAAGTAGTGGAGGCAGGAACCATACATAGTTTTAAGAAGAGGTATGACAAAGCTCAGGAAGCAGAGAGAGAGAGGATCCAGTAGCGATCAGTGAAGAGGCGGGGCCAGGAGCTGAGTCTCGACCCCTGCAACCACAATTAGGTGAGTACAATTAGGTGAGTACACACACACACGTGCGTGCACAAAGAGTGAGAGAGTGAGAAAGTGAGTGAGAGAGAGAGAGAGCGCTCTGGATATTGCTGGTGCTTTCGACCGGGTGTGGCACCAGGGTCTCTTAGCAAAACTGCAAGCTCTGGGAATTGCAGGCTCTATGCTATGTCTCCTCAGTGATTACCTTCATGGCAGATCTCTAAGGGTAGTTCTCAATGGAACGGTATCAGCAAGACATCCTATTGGGGCAAGTGTTCCACAAGGAAGCGTGCTGGGACCATTGTTATGGAATATCTACTTCAGTGACCTTCATCTCATCCCAGGATCCCATGCATGTGCAGACAACTGTACAGTGACATTCACTTATCCAAGAGAAGAAATGCCAGCTGCTCTAAGCTACACCAATCACCAACTAAGAGCTATATCAGCTTGTGGAAATAGATGGCAAGTAACATTTGCACCTGAGAAAACACAAATGATGGTCTCTAGGCACCATGATGGTAATGCAGGTGCAGTAGTAAGGATGAATGGGAGGGTGTTGGCACCTGGGGAGGAAATTGATATCCTTGGGGCGAAATTTGACTCTGAACTGACCACGAAGAACCATGTTGTAAATCATGAAAACAAGGCACCCAGGAAGCTTACAGCACTTCACCGTATCTCACATCTGCTTGACAGTATGGGTTGCAAGATTCTGTACGAGGCACAAGTACGCTCTCACCTTGAGTATGCTCTACTTTCTTGGTTTGCCTGCCCCCCCTCTCATCTGCGACTGCTTGACAGAGTAGAGAACAGAGCACGACGTCTCATCTCTCGCCTGGACCCATCCTGGATAGATCTGTCATTTCAGCAGAGCCTTCAACACAGGAGGGATGTGGGTGGCCTTACTGTTATGTACAAAGCTAATATTGTTAAAGTACCACTCTTGGATCCACTTCAAGGACAGCGTGAAACAAGCTTTTATGCCACAAGACGAGCAGAAAGCAGCAACTTCACTCTGGCTGTACCCTTCTCCAGAACATCACTCCATCTGAGATCATATATACCCAGGATGACTCTAGTATGGAACACATTTGTACAGCATAATGATGTCAACGAGATAAAGTCAGTTGATCAAATGGAAATGCTGGCCCACAGATGGCTCCAACTTCATCCTATTCCCTACTTGTATGTCTCATAACAAAAAAATGCTTTCAAATGAGCTGATGTAGGTAACAGCTCTTAGCTTGCCAATAAAGTTAGGAATCCTTAACCTGTAAATAGCTTGTCAATAAAGCTAGGGATCCTTAACCTAACCTTGTCAAACCCTGTGTAAAAAAAAAAAAAAGAGAGAAACCGAGAGAGAGACTGAGAGAGAGAGAAACCGAGAGAGAGACTGAGAGAGAGAGAGACCGAGAGAGAGACTGAGAGAGAGAGAGAGGGAGACCAAGAGAGAGACTGAGAGAGAGAGAGAGGGAGACCGAGAGATAGACTGAGAGAGAGAGAGAGAGAGAGAGAGAGACCGACCGACCAACCAACTGACATGGACAGGCTGGACATGTGGTCCAACAACTGGCTTCTCGAATTCAACCCCGCCAAATGCAGTCACGAAGATTGGGGAAGGGCAAAGAAGACTGCAGACAGAGTATAGGCTAGGTGGACAAAGATTGCAAACCTCACTCAAGGAGAAAGATCTAGAGGTGACCATAACACTGAGCACGTCTCCAGAGGCACACATCAACCAGATAACTGCTGCAGCATATGGGTGCCTGGCAAACCTGAAAATAGTGTTCTGATACCTTAGTAAGGAATCATTCAAGACACTTTACACTGTGTATGTCAGGCCCATACTGGAGTATGCAGCACCAGTTTGGAACCCACACCTGGTCAAGCAAGTCAAGAAATTAGAGAAAGTGCAAAGGTTTGCACCAAGGCTAGTTCCAGAGCTCAGGGAAATGTCCTATGAAGAAAGGTTGAGGGAAATCAGCCTGATGACACTGGAGGACAGGAGGGTCAGGGGAAACATGTTAACGACATACAAAATACTGCGTGGAATAGATAAGGTGGACAGAGACAGGATGTTCTAGAGAGGGGACACAGAAACAAGGGGTCACAGTTGGAAGCTGAGGACTCAGACGAGTCACAGGGATGTTAGGAAGCATTTCTTCAGTCAGAGTTGTCAGGAAATGGAATAGCCTAGCAAATGATGTAGTGGAGGCAGGAACCATACATAGCTTTAAGACAAGGTATGACAAAGCTCATGGAGCAGAGTGAGAGGACCTAGTAGCGATCAGCGAAGAGGTGGGGCCAGGAGCTGAGTCTCGACCCCTGCATCCACAATTAGGTGAGTACATATATATATAATGTACACACACACACACACATACAATACTAGGTCTAGATATAATTAGTTTGCCTGAAATGCTTTTGCATAATTAGTGGCCTTCCGAGTCTTGTATCAAATTATATCTGTATTACGATGAAATTAAATTCAATATATAGTAGAACCCCCATATCCATGGATTCGGTTTCTGTGGTTTCAGTTATTTGCATTTAACATGGCTCAATAATAACCCTTAATTTTGCTCAGTAATGACACCAAAGCACAAAAGTAGTTATAGTGGCAGTTCTTTCAGAGAAGCCATGAAGAGCCTCCCATTAGTAAAAAGGCACAAATTCTCAACTTATTGTATGTAATTTATCAATCAAACTTTAACATAGGTATATACGTAAATGAAAAATGACTTGCATATAGGGTTTGCCTCTATTGACAGTTTCAGGTATCTATAGTAGGTCTTGGAAAATATCCTCCCCTCCCCTGCATGGATACAGGGGGACTGCTCTATAATCAGTTTGAATGTATAACTATTGTAATTAATTTGCATGGCTCATAAGAAATAGAAACAAAATTAAATTATTAATTTAATATACAGCCTCTCCTCACTTAGCGACATACTCATTTACCGACGATTCACTTACGACAGGCTCTCTGACCAGTATGCATACCTAAATAATGTATTTAAGAGATGATTTTCTCTGTCTTATCTTATTCTGTTTATTACAGTATACAGTACACTACTGTATAAACATTTAAAAATATACCAGAAATTTTATAAATGATGCAAAGGAGACATAAAAACAATATAAGAACATAAGAAAGAAGGAACACTGCAACAGGCCTACTGACCCATGCGGAGCAGGTCCATGTCCCCCCACCCCCCGGATTATCCCAATGACCCACCCAGTCTGGTCATCCCTACTCAAGGATGGAGCACTGTACCAGACCCAGCAGCACAAGCTAGTCAGGTCCAACTCACACCCACCCACACCCACTCATGTATTTATCTAACCCACTACCATTATAGTATGTTCCTCATTTAGCGACGAATTTGTTTACTGACGTGCTCTTAGGAACAGAACTCCGTCATTAAGTGAGGAGAGGCTGTATAGTAATCTTCCCACACCCACTGTCCTATAGCCCCAAGTATCTGGTGCAGTTCTATTTTGAACGTATACTCTCTCAACCGCCTCATTACCTATATTTTCTAGCCTACCTTTCAGCAATCCTGCCAGAGCGTTAAACATCTACCAGATTTCCATTTCACACACATGACAAGAAGGTAGTATAGTGCCTCCCTGCATGGTGGCTGTATACAGCATTATCACTTTTAAGTGACCTTAACTCTATTTAATCAATGTCATTTGTTATACCGTATCTATTTATGAACCTTATAAAAATCATTACTGTATTTTATTCTGTTATAACATTTGCTTGCACCTCACAGATGGCTTTGTGACAGCAACTACAATGATGACTGAAGGCTTCCAGGCATTAACTCGTTTCCATCCCAACCATGGGGTCAATGTTATGCTCTATGATGACAATACTGTTGCATATAGGTGAGATGACTTAATGTTCTCTGCTGTTAATAATTATGAGGTTACTCTGAAATAAGTCTCATTGTCATCATTGTACCATAGTCCATCTATTTTGTCTTAGTAATTTTTTTTTTTAATTTAAGCTGTAATTTACAGTTCTACACAGGTGTTGAAATCTGGCTATTTTTTCTTTTTCCACATGAGTTTGTTTATGTACCATTTATAAATAAGTGACTTACCTATGGCTACAGTTATTAAACTTAAAACCTACAAGCTTTGGTGGATAGGTACAGTAATTTCTTTGTGCATTGATTCTGTATCATTTAAATAGATTTCTCCTTTGTACACATCACACCGTGAACGGAATTCATGTTCATTTGAATGTTGTTCATATTTGCCAAGATATTTCATTGCCAACTGTGTTGCTTAGGCTTTTAATTTACTTATCTGTCATTAAATTAAAAATTTTTTATGCTTATGTAACTTACCCAAATCTGAGGGATAGTTTAAAAAAAAATTCTGTATACAGTATAGTGTAGTGGAAACATTCTGATGTTGATGCTGGGTAATACAGAAAACAGTGAAGAAGGAAGGTGGGTTGCCCAGTGTCTGTGTATTTTTGTGTAACAACTTATTTGCGATTACCTATTTGTAGCTGCAGGATGAGAGTATTTAATTTGCCATATTATTTCTGATTTTCCAGTGGTTGTAGCACTTACAATCACATCATATTTATGTAATGTTCCTACTCAATAACTACTTAACTATACAGTTAATCTTTAAAATGCATCGCGTAACTATAGTTTTTTCCATGTACTTAATTACATAACATATATGATTTAAGAGCTGTGATGTCATGGAAAATAAACTTCGCTTTAATGAAATTCCAGTGGTTCTATTCTAGCACTCTTTGTGAGGACATACTTTCTGCCAGCTTTACAACACAGTTTGAGTATAATATTGGCCTCTTGTTCTCCCTGTTGCTGTTTATTTATGTTCTTTTGGCCTGTCTTCTGATTTTTTCCACTTCTACTGCTTCTCACTTTTTCCTTACATGCTTCTTTGCTTCTTCCTTTGTGGGCCCCTGGAAATGTATGTAAAATATCCTTTGCAAAATGTGGTTCATTTGTGAATTGTTCCAACCATGGTATTTTGAGTTTTGTTCTTTATGGTGATAGTTGGAGGTATGAGAGTATTGAAAGGGTGCCTGTAACAGGAACAGGTAATGAGGAGGTTGAGAAGGTTATGTTGTTTCATAGTTTTTAACTTGTTTCACTGTCCAGACCCTTGAAATTAATATTTCTGTCCCCCCCCTTTTTTTTAATTTAAAAAATGGTAACGGCACCATAAGTATGAAATTTGATGGAAAACTTATGGAATTATGTAAGTATACGATGTTAGTTGTCTCGGCTCAGTTTATGCACTGGCAATTTTACTGATTGGGTCCTAATTTAAGCCAATTCCATTGCTTCTGTTGACCAAATTCTTAGCTATCTTACTAGTATGACTTCCATTGTATTGATTGAGCACGAGAAACCACCCATTCAGTTATTTTAACTACCCTGTAATGTGCACAGAGGTTGGTAATTTTGTCCATTTTTTCCCAAAATTCAAACAATGCCAGTTTAAAAACAGAGTTCAAAATAAACAACGTAGGCATTCTTGGCACTAAAACAACATTTCCTCTGTTCATTAATTGCATCCCTAGGCCTCACCTACATTACACTTGCCTTCCATTTTTAATTCTTAATCACACAAAAGTAGAAGATTTACTCTGTTTCTTGAATAATAAAATATAAACAGGAATGATTGGTTATGGTTTATGTTATCCCAGTACTGTAATTGAATCAGACCTATTAAAAACAGACTAGGGGGTGTAGGGATCCTTATTCTCCTTCAGGATTATCAGCAAAAATCAAATATTTCCACTACTTTGAACTCAGTTTCAACTTCTGGTCCAGAAACCAATCAGTAGTTTATATTTCATTTCATCAAATGATACCAAGAAATAGCCAATAAAGCCATAAAAACCATCCAAGAAAAATAAAATTCTCTGTTTTGAACTGTCCATACAGTCAGAGTTTTGTTTTTTCTATCATGCACTGCATGGGGCAGGAATTTTTTTTTTATATTGTGCACACTCGCTGCACAGACCCATTCTATCATATCTAGGCCAAAATTTACTGTTCACAGCTTACCTGAGTGAGCCTCACATAGTAGAACTATGTGAGAGACCCTGGCATCAGTGATATAATTCTGTGTGATGGCCACTGAAAGGGTTCAATGTGCATACAGTACTTTAACCCTTTCACTGTCGAGACCCATGCTCACAAACTTGCTCTCAGTGCCAAAGAATTTAAAAAAAAAAAAATTTTCTTATGCAATGATAGAGAATCTCTTCATGATGGTAATGACGGCAAGAATACGAAATTTGATGGAAAACTTAAGGAATTATGTTCTCGTGAAGTTAACGATCTTGGTGATGTTTATGCATTGGCAATTTTGCCCACTTTGAGCCCTATTTTTGGCCAATTCCATTGTTCCAGTTGACCAAATTCATAGCTATTTCGCTAGAACTTCATTTGTTCTTTTGATTGAGTATAATAAACTGCCCATTTACTGATTTCAGCTACCCAATAAAGTGATCAGAAGTTGGTAATTTGGCCAATTTCATACACAATTCAAGTAAGGCCAATTTCAACATAGTGGCCAGAATAAACAATGCAGACATTCCTAGCACTAAAATAACATTTTCTATGTTCATTAGTCACGTCTCACAGCCCCTCTTATATTATGCTTGCTTTCCATTTTGAATTTTTATTCACTCAAAAAATAGAAGATTTACTGTTATGCAGACTACTGTATTACGTATTGTAAAAATGGTATAAATAATATCAGTGCATTTGTGAAAGCATATTAGACCCACCAGTTGACGTGTATTTGATGTGTGGTATGATTTATTTGTTTACTCTTGAACATCTGCAAAAATCGAACATTTCCGCTGCTTTGAGCTCAATTGCAAGGTACACTTTTATTCCGAAAACCATTCAAAATCATCTCTACTTCAGTACTATATCTTTCATTCTGTCAAATGAGACCAAGAAAATGAGAATACAACCTTAAATACCATATGAAAATTCATTGCAAAGTCGCTGTTTTAAACCAGAAACACTGTCGGAGTTTTTTTTTTTCTCATTATGCACTGCGTGCTGCAGGATTTTTTTTATACTGCTACACTGAGCACACAGACCCATTCTCTCACATGTAGGCCTACCAGCTTTCTCCCACCAGATTTGCAGGCACTAGAATTTTGGCGTAGTATTACAGAACTGACACTGGCTTGCAAGCTGTAATATTATGGGAGCGACAGTGAAAGGGTTAATTTTAAAATATAAACTTGTATCGCTTATGTGTATAGTCACCAATACAATTTTCCAGGGTTTCTTATTCTTAGATTTTGATAATCCAACATTTTTTTTGGTGGGCAACTAGAGAATAAAATTAATTATCACATTCCCTTTCCTAAATCTCTTTATTCTAGTCATTATTTCTTATGAATGTTGGTATTAACCAGATTAGCGGTATGGTTTGTGAAACTCAAAATAAACCCGTATCTGAAACAGAATTTGTTATTTAGACTTGATTTATTTCATTCATGGTAGAAAGATTCATAGGACTTCTAGGAATGTAATGGTCTGTGTAGATTTATAGATTTTGCCACTGAAGGAGCTGGTTTACTCTGCACCAAATAATCATCCTGTGGATATAAGCACAAGAGTATATTGATATGCAAAAGGCTTAAGGAACTAGGGACTCAAAAGGTTAACAGGAGTACATCTGGGTTTATATCTACAGTTGACTTATCTGTTGCAAGCAAATTTAGGATATTTGCTAAAGTCTTTTATCATATACTCGTTGATAAGATACCTTGACATATCACATAGGTTATTATATTGTTTTTCTCTTTATTTCTCAGCAAGGTGACAAACATATAATATTCAAGAAAGTGTTATTGTTTTGAGTGATAGATCTATTCAGGCTTCTTACTGCATTCCTAAGACATTAAGTTTCATTATTTGCTTTTCTCCTAATATTATTCCTAGTGCTAGGCACAGACACACCAAAGTTATATTCTGCATTTTCCTCCAGGGTACCTACTTGGGCTGACTTATTAACTTTCATGAAGGAGTAATTCAATGTGTAATGGAATCCATAAAAATTGTACACTAATTCCTTTTTCTTTGATTTTTGAGTATACATGGCTTCTCCATTGAGCTTGTTGTTATTTATTGTTACTAGTCATTATGAGAGTCAAGCACCTTCAGTAATGACTTAGAATCAGTATTAATCAGAAGAGTCAAGCTCAGTAGAGGTGACTGATCATTGACAAAAAATGTAGACGTGGAAGTGTTTATCTTAGAGCATTTTGAGATATCCAAAATTTCAGAAAATTTCAATGGCCATTAAGTATATCAGTTGCTAGTGGTTTATTTCTAGTTAAGACTATACAGTGTGAGCTCAGGGACTAGTTGTAAGTTTGGTGAAGATTTGCTAATGTGTTATTTTCTTCAGAAGTATAAGTACGATTTTTTTTTTTTAACATGCTGGCCGTCTCCCACCAAGGCATGGCGACTTAAAAAAGAAACACTTTCAGCATCATTCACACTATCAGATATAATGGTTTATATATCATTTTAAATAGAAAACATCCCAAACCTCTCCTCTAGGGTGTAGGCACTGTACTTCCCACCTCCAGGACTCAAGTCCAGCTAACAGGTTTTTCAGAATTCCTTGACAAACTGTTGCCCTCCTCACACTCCAACAATTGACAGACAGGGACTTACACTGACCATTAACAATCCCAGTCACTGTTTTACTAAGATACACACGTATTGAAAATCTGAAGTTAATTTGAAGATATAATTGAGTTTTCACTCCCAACAAGAAGTACAGTATAGAAGTAAATAACTAGAAATGTGAACCACAACAGATCTCCCTGGTGATTGACAGGTCAAACTCTA